CTCCAGTATCATTCCATCACGGAAGGTGAAGACGTTAACCTTTTTCTATATGGATTACGTCAGTCCAAATATCAATACATAGACTTGCTTGTTAACGCTATAAAAAAACTAGTAAAAAGAGAGGTAGATGAACGAAAAGTGGAAGTTATAATTTCAAACTGTAACAAGGGATTTAAGAAAGTTGTCGTAAAAGTAATTGCGGCGGGAATAGAAAGTACCGTCCGTGACAGGTTGACAAGCTATTTGCTTGTTCCTGGTAGAGTTACAGAGAAATATCTCCCTGAAGACGAAGTAAAAATGGTATTCGTCTATTGTGACCTCGTAAAAACGAGACCGGTTGGTGATGTCATGGTCCCTTTGCTTCGGACCGTACCGATCGTTGAGAAGAAACCAAGTTTCGTTTTTCGTATTTACGACAAACCCCACTACATTCCCCTGAACCGATTTTCATTCGACACTGTGGAAATACTTTTATGCGACGAGTTGGGACAAACGCTCTCATTCACAAGTGGAACGTCAGTGTTGACAGTCCATTTTAGAACACGTAAACATTTCGATCTGGAATAACTCACACCATGGTGAAACACACACTTTTACATCGAAACCCTAAATTGTACGAAGATTTTTACTGTAACCAGTACGGTGATGTTTTACCCGTTTTTATCGGTGGACGAAACCAGAGAGGACACGGTATTGGTAGTATCTTTAGTGGTCTAGGTCGCATGGTCCTCCCTTGGATAAAGACGGGAGGTAAGGCTTTACTCAGAGAAGGTGTTAGTACTGGATTACAAGTTGCAAACGACGCATTAGCGGAAAGAGACGTTGGAGAATCGTTCAAAGAACACGCCAAGGAAGCTGGACATCGTTTATTGCAAGGCGCCGTTGATCACCTGGGACAAAACCAATCAGGAAGCGGGTTGAGAAGAAAGCGTGGGCTCTCGAGACCACCAGGTGAACCCTTCGAACAACAGATAAAACTACCACGCAGACCAAGCCACAAACATTCGAAGGCGTGTGCTAAGAAGAAGTATCCCAAGTATTCATATATATTTGCTTAACCATGGCTCTTATTCACCCGAGTTCATGTGAGTGCTTACATTCTGGATTGGATTTATTTAGTACACCCCCGACACAAACTGCCGTCGAGGAGGGTCAATTTGTTGAAATACATCCCCTGGCATCCTTGGTACAAGGTGCACCTATAGAATTTGCAATTTCTGCAATCTCGATTTGTTTAATACTTATTTACACGTGCGCGCTGAAGTCACCTTAGCGAATGGTGATTCAATACCCCCTGACGTTGATGTCGCACCCGTCAATTATTTTTTGCACAGTTTATTTTCACAAGTGGATATTTCCCTAAACGATACGCTAATTACTCCTAGTGAAAACACCTATCCGTATCGCGCCTATCTGGAGGCTATGTTAAATTACTGGGAAGAGGCCAAGAATGGGTCTCTATCGGCCGCTCTTTATGCGAGGGACTTAGCCTGTTATTTCGAGGAATTCAAAGATGACAATAATGAAGGGTACAGGATTCGCCGCACCACCGCTGCTGAAAGTCATGAGATCGATATGATGGGACGTATACACTCTGACATTTTCGCCCAAGATCGGTATATGCTGAATGGTGTTGACATTAAAATTAAACTTACACCCACAAAAGACAATTTCATTCTCTTGACAGCAGAACCAAACAAGGGATATAAAACGGTTATAACGACGCAACATTGGTGGTTAGAAAAGCCAGACTTAACCCCGCCATTTTTATCGCACATGAAAAGGCTTTAACGACAACAAATGCAAAATACCCTTTTAAACGCGTTGTTATAAAAACCTTTGCAATACCGAAACGTATGTTAAGTCACAACCAAGACAATTTGTATATGAGTCAAACACCCACCCGTTTAGTGATCAGTCTAGTCGCCTCTACAGCCTTTAATGGTAGTTACACGAAAAACGCCTTCAATTTTCAACATTTGCAATTGACGTATTTAAATGTAAGCGTTGATGGACGCTCGTTATCGGAAAAACCAATGGTCATGGACTTTGATAAGAAACAAGCCATAAGAGCGTTTTTCAATAGTAACCTCTCTCTTGGTATGGTTGGAAAAGATGCTGGGAATGGGATAGATTATAAAAACTTTAAGAACGGGTATACCCTGTTTGCTTTTGATTTAAGCCCTAGTCTTTTGGATGGTGAACAATTTGAATTGGCTAAATCCGGACCTGTTTCTATTGAACTTAAATTTTCACAAGTTACAGCTGACCCGATTCAAGTTATTGTGTATGCTGAACTTGATTCGGTGTTAGAAATTTCGAAAACGAGGCAAGTGCTGACAGATTACACCGCCTAAATCACCCTATAAAAGAAAATGGATACAAGAGAACTACAAAGTATACTGACCGCGGATTTATTTGTGCAACGCACACATCTCTTTGCTGTTTTAGCGTGTGATCAGGTATCCGCACGTCTCGATAGAACGAAGCAAGTGGCGTTCATTATAAATTTAGATTCGTCCGCGGAGGCAGGGAGTCATTGTTTTGGTCTATTTTTCAACGGTCTATCGCAATTTACTTATTTCGATAGTTTTGGATTACCACCTCGGCAACCAGCCATTTTGTCTCTTATAAAAAATAATTCAAACAGACCACTCGTTTACAATTCAAGAGTGTTACAAGATATTCTAACCAACACTTGTGGTTTATATGCAGCTTATTTTGTTTTGAAGAAAGCTCGCGGTGCAAATTTAAAAGCTATATTACAACCCTTTTCGGCGTCAGCGAATCGTCAATATATTAACGATCGTATTATAACACGTTTAACGCTTTAAATTATTGGAACTAATTATAAAAGATTATTTCAAGATGTCTACTGAAGATTGGATACTTGTGGCCAGATGTAACAATAAAGTGACGGAAATACGAACGACGAATCACACTGGATTTAAATTGGCGATTGTCAGCCAATTCATGAACAAAGACACTTTAAATATTAGAGAGCTTATAGATGGGACCGATCTTAATTTTCCTACAAATTCTGGTGTTACTATGAGTCGAGTCTGTTTTGAACGCTTGTTAAGTTTTACAGGATGATATTTTAAAAGCCTTTGGAAAAACGTTAATAAATAAATAAAATATAAGAAGAGTTTTATTCTAATTTTATTGTGTGTGTGTGTGTTTATGTGTATACGTGTAGAATACTCGTACAAGAAAACTTAAACACAAGGTAATGAAAAAAGCCCGGGAGCCACCGTTAAGTGTGGCAACAGCTGTCGCATGTTGGCAAATACTTCGTTGAGAAGCACTTAGCGCATTGCCATTATCCCATTAATCACTGCACGGTCTCTGTCAAACGGGCAGCTTAGCTGGCGGGTCGATACGTGCCGGTTGTCGTTAACGAGTAACAGCTGTCGCTAAGTCAAGAGAAAGAATTTTCTGTTTTTGTCTACGTTCGTTGTGTTGGACAATTTAACCTGTTTTTTGTACACATTCGTTGTGGGGGAGAATTTAAAAATTAATAAAAACATACAAACAACAAAGAAAAGAAATATATCAAATAAACAACAAACAAAAATTAAACAAATTAAAATTTAAAATTAAAAAATAAAATTTTAAAATTTTAAAAATTAAAATCAAATAAATTAAAATCAAACTAATTAAAAAACAAACTAAATTTAAAATTTAAAATTACAAAATTAAAATTAAAAAAAATTAAAATCAAATTAATTAAAATCAAACAAATAATCAATTACTACTTTAATAATTAAACTAAAAATAACTAAACTAATTAAAAATTAACACAAAAAATATAAACAACCTAATTAAATTAAAATTTTAAAAATAATCAAATACGGCTTTAAAAATTAAACTAATCAAACATTAAAAATTAAATTCAAACAAACAATCAAATTACGTAACTAGTCAATACAAATTAATTAAAAACAACAAACAAATTAAAAAAACTCACTAAAAACTCATTAAAACTCATTAAAATCTGTTTAAAATTACGTAACTAGGTCACTGATGGTGATTATGTAATTAGGTCACCGATGGTGATTACGTCGATTACGTCACAAGGTCACCGGTGGTGATTACTTTACAAGGGCACCAGTGGTGACCTACTGACCTACTCCGCATCCGCATCCCCCACCCTCACCCACCCGCCTCACCCACCCTCACCTACCCACTCACCCACCCTCACCCAAGTGGGTGAGTAGTTTACTATATAACATGTCAAACCCTCCACATCCGCATCCCCCACCCTCACCCACCTTCACCCAGGTGGGGGAGTATTTTACAATATAACATGTCTAACCCTCACCCTTCACCCTCACCCTTCACCCTCTCCCACCTCACATAGGTGGGTGAGTATTTTCCTATATATCCTTTGCGGATCCGCATCCGCATCCACCTTCACCATGCGCCAGGTGGGGGGAGTATTTTACTATATAGCCTTTGCTCCGCATCCGCGTCCGCCTCACCCTTCACCCACGATAACCAAAAGTGACCTAATACACTACTTACTTGTTTTTATTTGGTCAATTTCATTCTTTGCGGGTACAATTATTTATTTTAAAAAAGATTCGATGACATTCTTCATGTTTATTTTCAAACAATAGTGAGAAACAATATTATTCCTGTCTACAAAAAAATAAAGTTTTTTTTAAATTGAATCAAACAAACAATTATCTTGGCAAAATCTGAACTTTCGACAATGCTTATCAACAACAAACTGTTTAACTTTGATGTTCGCGGAATACACCGCCTGACTTAAATTACTTTTTAGACAATAAATTATGTTAAATTTAACCTCCAGTTATCTCTCTAGTTACTTGTCTTCCCAGGCAAAATAAGGGCATTGAAATAACGAATTATAGTACAACAATAGAATTATCAGTTTCAAATATCTCTAATCGCCATTGGAAAGTAGTGCGAAATTATTATTTTTCTTAAATGCAACGAAATAAGTTGATTTGAAAAATTAATGAATCAATTAC